TTTTCAAATAGACTCCGAATATCCATCTGGAAATCAGACAGAAATGGCTGATGGGGGCCAAATCACACAGCTCCCAAAACCACTCAAGGCACCCTATTCCAGGCACCCTGCTAAGGGCTCTCTGACCAGCTAAATGGTCACCAATACTGTCCTACCATAGGACACAACTCTGTGATCCCTCCAGGCACCAGGGAAAAACAAAGCAAGCCCTAAGGCCAGGGGTACAAACACTCTGTCGGCAACCTGCAGGGGAGGGAAGGAAGCAAGCAGCTCCAAATCATACTGACTGAGGCCAGAAGGGCTTCTGGACCGGCAGCAGCATCATTATTCCAAAACATTTCCTCACCAAAAAGACAGCCAGGTAGTGCCCTCTCTGTTAGGCCCAGGGCAGCTCCCCCCTCTGATGCCAGGTTAGAGGGAATTTTTCCTTAATCTCAGAGTATTCTTTCTGAAGCCAATAAGAGACAGAAAACTTTCATCCAACCTAGGTAGCACTCCTCCTACCTTGAGCCTGTAACCTAGTAATCTGAGGATGAGAAGGAAGATGGAAGTCCAGAACAGGGAGGCCACATTGAACATTGTCAACCCAGGAGGTAAACTCTGATCCAAGGCCCTTAGAGTCCCTACGTGTAAAAGGAGCCAGGAGGACATAAGGAATGCCCTCATGTAAAAGGGAAGAAGTTGAGCCCCAGAAAGGGCCAGGATTGGCCTAAGGTCACAGAGCACCAAGAGACAGAAGCTGACCTAGGGCTCATTCGGAGCCCTCTCTCTGCTTGAGTACAGTTTGTTGGGATCAACAGGAATCTCCCAGGAAAAAGTCCCCAACTTGCATATTCAGAATTGGATGTCTTGTTGGTGCTGGGTAGTAACAGGGTATAGATATTTGTTTTGGTTTCCAAACCAACACTTGACAACCTTGTTCACAGTACAGGTTCAGAGACCACAATGCTCACGTGGTAAGGGGCTCAGGGCTCGGCTGGCTGGGCAAAGAGGAAACCAAAGTTGTGGTGAAGGGCTCCCCCCTCTGCGGGACCTGGCATCCAAGGCCTGAGGCACTGCTTTGGGTTGGCGTTTTCGAAGTATGGTTCCTGCAACACTGGAGGCAACATTCTAATGACTTCTCAAATTTAAAACATATTGAATATGTAAGTGAATGGATAAGCAGAGCATGCACCATCCATACAATGACATATCATTCAGCAACTAAAAAGAATGTGCGGCTGATACATGATTTGCAGCCTTGGAAACCCTATGAGATAGTTCTGCTCTGCCGTGCAGGGTCACTATGAGTTAGAATTGACTCAATGGCAATTTGCTATCATTATTATTATTACTGATACTTGCTATTATATGGATGAAATTCAAAAACACCAAGTAAAAGAAGGCAGTTGCAAAAGTCTGCATCTTGTATGACTCCATTTACATGGTATGTCCAGATCTACAAGAGACAGAAAGATTAGTGGTTGGTTAGCTAGCCTGAGGGAAGGGATAGAATAGAGATTTACTGCAAAGAGTCACAAAGGATCTTGGAGAGGTGACGCAAGTCTTTTAAAGCTGGATTGTGCTAACGGTTGCACAACTCGGTGAATTCACTAAAAATCACTGAATGTATACTTCAAACAAGTAAATGCTAAGAACTGCAGTCATACCTCCATAAGGCTGTCAAAAATACTTTATGTAAATAACAGGGCAGGAAGGAAGGAGCTCTGGTGGTGCAGTGGCTAAGTATACACCTGCTAATGGAAAGGTTGATGGTTCAAATTCATAAGAGAAAGAAGTGGCAGCCTGCGTCCAGAGATTACAGCCTTGGAAGCCCTGTGAGGCAGTGTTACTCTGTCTGGTAGGGTCTCTGAGTCTCAATCGATTTGACAGTAACAGTTCTGGTTTTGTGGAATTTTGTTGTTTGTTTTTAGTTCATGGATACAGTAAAAAGTCACGAAACTGAAACTCAAAAATCCCCAGCCTGGAGAATCTGAGATTTCCCTTTGAAAAAAATTAAGCAAGAGAGTTGAAGACTATGGGTCCTCCAGGTGGCCCAGAAAAGATCCTGGAATCTTTCCTTTGCACAAGGCCTTTCCACTGCTCGGTCCTGTCACACCATGCAAGGCATCCTAAAAGGATCTAAGACTGTGGATGAAGACATCCTGACAAACACCTTGATCTCATTCCATAATTTGTGATTTCTCCTGTAGATAGGAGGGTGACGGATTGAGAGTGGGAGCTCAGATTCATGTATTGTCAAGACTAGAAAAACCCTTTGAGATCAACTAGCCCCATAGTTTTAAAACAATTCTTAAAGTTGGTCATACACTCCCCACGCATCCCTCAGGAAGAACAAACAAAAAGAAACCACAATTCTTAAGAGAAACTCAAACATATAAGAAAGTGAAAAACATAATGTTGCCTGTAGGTTCAACTATATAACAGTTGTTGACGTTGTTATGTGTTGTCAAGTTGGAAATGACTCAAAACGGATCCCCTGGCAGGTTTTCAGAGGCAGTAAATCACACAGGAAGAGACTGCCCATCTTTGCCCCCTGGAGCAGCTGGTGGATTTGAAACATGTGCCTTTGGGTTGGCAGTGCAGCTCCTCATGGTGAGGCCACCAGAGCTCCCTACGTAACAGTTACCTATCCTAAATTCGATCAATGAGCTTAAGGAGGCTGTTTTGATCCATCAATATTTAGAATCAGAGTCAAGAATGATGTCCTGCATCCAGTTCAATCTTGTCTTCAGTTTTGACTGCAGAGCATCAAGAGACTCCTGACTCACACAGAAAAGTTGTTACAAATGAGAAGAGTTTTTCATTCTCTTGCTTTACAATCTCAGACTATTGTTCAGACAAAGCAGGCAAGAGAGAGGCCGACTATTCACAAGTCTCTAATGAGTTAAGATTTAAAAGTGTGAGTACATTTTTATGATCATAACATATTTTTAGATAATAATTTTATTAAATATTTAAGGAATCCCTGAAGCAGCTCAACAGAAGGCTGAGAATTCAAGCCCACTTTCAAGGGGCAGAAAGTTGATCTTTCCATGGTGGGTTACGGAGACACTCATGAGTCTTCAGTTCTAACCCATCTAACACAACTTATAGACAGAAAAACCAAGACTTGGAGAAGGGGAATGCATGTGCTTTGGAAAAATCCCACCTGAACCGTGAACCAACCTCCAGTGCACGAAACCATGGAGAAGAGAAGGTATGCATGCACCTTCCCAGCAGGGCGGGAAGAGTGACACCCGCCTCCACCTGTCTCAGCTACACCAGCTCATTCCAGGCCTGTGCCAGAAGCTGACATCACACCCCACACCCTGGGTGCAACTTCAACAAAGCATTGCCCAATTCCAACCCATCTCCTTTGAAGACTGGGCAGTTTTTCCATCTCCCTAGCAGCCGAGTCCAAAGTGCACACACATCATAAAACAAATACAACACAAACCTGAGGCATGACGACACCACCAACAGTGATTGACAGCAGGGCCCAGCCCTTGCGAGTTTCACCATCAAGACCAAGTGCCTGTTTCTGTACTTTACCCAAACAAGGCTGTCCACAAGGACAGAAAGGTTATCTTCCCATGGCAGGACATTCTCAGGTCTTCAAGATAGCTACCCCAGAGAGATCCTTATCTCTCAGCAGGTTGATCCCAGAAAGGCACAGCCTTGACACTCTGGGCATTCCTGCTCCCTGCTAGCTTGACACTATGCCTGCCATGCTGAATAGGGACTTTACCTTCCCCAAAGCATCACTATCCCCATCCTACTCTCCCCTCACACAGCTCTGGATGAGATTTGCTATTCCCATCTCTCTAGTGAGGAAACTGGCTTCTAAGTGGTTCAATAATCTCACTGGTAGGTGGCAGAGCTCGCATTTGAACTATCCAGTGGCCAGTCAGCCCAGTGGAAGGAAAAGAAAGAAAGTAAGAAGATCCATCCAGTTCCCTGAGCAGACCTCTGTGCCATTAACTCTACTGTTAATGTGAGCACCAGGGCTCAGAGGTGGAAGGAAAAAAAAATCCTTCTTGGTTCATCCTTCAAGCTCTGGAGTACCAATCAATGGGACCCATCCATGCAATACCAATCCATCAAGGGCAGAGAGCCCATCCCCCTCATAGGTCCCAGAAGCTTTAGACAGATTCCCCCTCCTATCAGAAAGTTGAATAGGCAGCACTGTTAGCCTGGTTATAGTCAGGAAGTAATGTCCATTTCCCAACTGGGAAATCTGGGCTGGAGCAAGAATGGAATGGCCAGTTCTGTGGATAGTCTAGCCAGAGATGGTGCTCTGGTTCCGTTCACTATCTAGGTTGGCCAACCCCAGGTTCTGTCCTCCATGACTTTTCAGGATGAGTTTCTTAGAGCCAAAGAAACCATGAGACTAGGATTAAGTGGAAGAAGAGGGATTCGAAAGGAAACATCTTTTTTAAAAAGCCTGTGGTTAGTGTGGTCTGGTTGTCCAGTTGGACCTTTCAGAGATGAAGCAGAAATGGCAGAACCCAAGTTCATGCAATTCATCTATTTCTAGACACTGATCATATTTAAGTCAAGAAACAAAAGGGCAGTGGGTAGTCTAAGGGAATTTCCTTCTCATTCATTGAGAAGGGAAGGGAAATAAATCCACCTCCTAGGCTGAGAGAACGAACCTGAATGAGTTAAAATTACTAGTTCAAATCCTGGCTCCCCCACTTCAAAGTCAAGTTACCTTATAGGCAACTTGACATTTCAGTACCTCAGTTTTCCGTATCTACAAAATGGGGCATGTGACTGCTTTGCACTCTGCGTTGTCCCGAAGATTAAGATCAGATACAATACCTAGAAACCAACATTCCCGGATCAATAACGGTGCCCGGTTCTTGTACCTAGCTAAGTCTTCCAAACGTGTGTAGGGTGCTCTGCAAACCACTCTACTTGCCGGGGCCAATCCACCCCTCGGATCTCCTCCCAATCAGACAATCTGGTCGCCCCTCCCAAGGAGAGACAGGAGGTGGGCGCAGCCCCCCACTCACCTCCGTTTGTACTCGTCGCGCTCGCGCTTCACCTTGGCCAGCACGTTGTAGAGCGCGCGGATCTCCGGTGTGATGGTGTCGATCTGCACACCCACGCCATCGGGATGCACCCAAGACACCCCAGGTCCCTGTACTGTCTCCACGCCGCCGCCGCCCGTCCGGCGTACCTGCGTGTAGCTCCAGATGGTCCCAGGCAGGCGGCCGTAGTGCTGCGGGTGCGAGCCGCCGCCGGGGGGCAGGCCGCCCAGGGCTATGGCGTTGGCGTTGACGCCGGCCGCCGCGCCGCTGCCGTGGCCACCGCCGGGCGCCAGCGGCCGCAGCAATTCGGGCCCTGTCTGCACAGCCTGCTCGCGGGAGAAGGTCTTGTACCGCAGCCGCCGCTCGCGCTCGCTCTGCTGCTGCTCCAGCTGCTTCTCCAGCAGCCGGTTGCGCCGCTCCAGTTCGTGCACCTTGGCCAGAAAGCAGCGGAAGCGCACGTTGAGTCCCTTCAAGAGGTGGATGTTGGAGCCCAGATCGTCCCGCAGCGCTGCTGTCACCGGCGACGGCCCCGGCCCAGCCCCGCCACCCCCGCTAGGACAGCCCCCGCCGCCACCGCCGCCCGGCGGGCAGCCGAAGGCCAACGCCATCTCCCCGAAGAGCAGCGAGTTCACCATGCGCCGGCTGCGCGGCTCAGGGCCCCGAGCCCGCGGCTCCAAGTGAGGCTCCAGCTCCGAGCCGGGCTCCCGGCGCGGCCGGGCCAGGGCGGGCGCGGGCTCCAGCGCGCTAGCCGGGCGGTGCCAGATGCGCGCCAGATGCGGCCTCCGCAGCGACGCGCGCCGGCTGCTCCCGGATGTGGGCTCTGAGACGATGGCCGGAGCTGGGACGCGTTCGGCCGCTTCTCTGGCGGCAGAAGAGGCCGCGGCAGCTGTGCGAGGATAGTGAGGTTCGCGGACCCCACCGCCGGCGCTGTCAGGGACGCTGTGGAAGGGCCGCGGCAGCCGCAAGCAGAGGACTCTCGGCGGGCACTGCCCCTTCTGCGGCGGGCCCCGCCCACTGCAGACTAAGGCCCCGCCCCAAGAGCTAATCCCGCCCTCCCGTTCTCCCTCTGCGGTGCTCTGAGAGCCTTAGGCTCCGCCCAAGAGCGGTCTGCACGGTCTGGCCACGCCCAAGTTCCTCGTGGCCCCTCCCACTCCTTGAGGTTCCCTGTGTCTCTGCTGCCAAGACCGGCTGTCTAAATGCTGGCTCCGCCCCGCACCGCCGACTAGACCACGCCCTCTCATGCGCCGGTTGCAGCCGCCTGGCAGAGCTCGGGTTTTCTGTAGTGGATGCGGACCGCAGAGCTGCACTAGGGACAGAGCTAACTGCAAACGCCGCAGAGCTAGCCCAGCCTCTTAAAGGGACCAGACAGCCAGCCATTCGCTTCCCCTTCTAGGGTCCCCCCTCCCCCACGTCTTCTGCCTTGGAGGCTCCGCTGCTCCCTTTCCCCCACCCCCAACTCCCTCAGCTTAAGACAGTGGAGACCTCGGACAGGAAGGTTACGGAGACTGGGTGACCGCAGAATGCGAAGGTGCACTCGCACCCATCCACATTCTAGCTTGGGACGACCTAGATCGATCTTCCCAAGAAATGGCAGAGCTGCTGCGGGCACGTCTCCCACGTGGCAGACTGGGGATTGGGCTCCTCGATCGCTTCCCCAGCAGCAGACTCGTCCCGAGATCTCCCTGGGCTCAGAGGAACCTTCTGCTTCCCTGGTCCACAAAGATGCCCCCTAGTTGGGGGTGGGGATTGTGGGAACTAATAAAAAACCCTCCCGGAATCTGGCACCCGCCAGCTCGTCTGAGGCATCCCTTCTCTGAACTGCTCCGGCCCTCGGGCCGACCACCTCCCCACCACCGCGCATGTACGCACACTCGGCTGCAGCTGACCCGGAGCTAGAGCTCCCTTCTCTTTGTTCGTTATGTTTTCAGACCTACTTACCCTAAAGACTACGTTCTGCAGGCACAAAGATCTATTGTAATTGTTTGGGTTTCCCCTCTTGCTATTCTTTCTTTTTTACCTTTTTTAAAAACTTTTTTTAAGTTTGTATACATTGTGTTGCACACTACTGTTCATTCACATTGTGTTTCATACAATCATTTCCATTCATCGTTTTATAAAATGAATCACCATTGAACTATGCTCACTATTATTACCCTGCCTTTTCAGATCCCCGAGGAATCTTTCCCATTTCCTTTACCCGCCTCTCCCTCCATCCACCAAATTGTGCAACCCTATGATTTCCTTTCTACCCATCTTCACCCCTCTGTTCCTACCCTTCCCCACTTGGATCCTCATACATGTGTTACTAGTTACCTTTTTATTTCTACAATCATGGTCTTATGCCGTATTTGTCCTTATGAGATTGAGTTAGTCACTCAGCGTAATGCTCTCCAGTCTCTCCCAAGTTATGTAGTGATTTTCTAAATCATTGCTTCTGAGTGCTGTATAGTATTCCATCATGTGAAATGTACCACAATTTCTCAACTTCCTCGATTGTGTTTGAACATTTGGGCTGTTTCCATGATCTTGTGATAGTGAATAACACTGCTATGAAAATTGGTGAACAAGTGTCCATTTGTGTTTTAGTTCTAATTTCCTCAGGGTCTATTTCTAACAATGGAAGAGCTGGGTCATATGGAATTTCTATGTTCAGCTTTTTGAGGAAATGCTAAATTGCCTTCCAGAGTGGTTGTATCCAACCAACAGTGTATGAGAGTTCCTCTCTCCACATGCTCTCCAACATTTATTACTTGCTGTTCTGTTAAACTTTGCCCCTGCTAATTTGCATCTCTCTGGTTGCCAGTGATTTTAAACATTTCTTCATGTGTCTATTGGCCATCTGAATGTCTTCCTCTGTAAAATCTTTAGCCCATTGTGTAATTGGGTTATCAGTCTTTTGGTTCAGAGACCCTATGTATTCTGTAAACTTTTTTTATGAGACCCTTGTGTGAAATGATATTGCCAAATATTTTTTCCTAGTCGGTAGGTTTTCTTTTCAACCTGTTGGGAAAAGTTTTTTATGTGTACATGGATTTAATCTTTAGAAGGTCTCGTTCAGCAATAGTTGTGTATTTCTGGATGTATTTGTCAACCTTTTTATACCATAGACTAGGCCTTCTAAGCTTGGACCCACTTTGTCTTTTATGATCTTTATGGTTTGGGGAAGTGCAGACTGGGTTTAGAAGAGTACTAAGGATGTTATAACTAATGTAGGATGGATGGATCTTGGCTGAAAGCAGAGAGTACCAGAGGAATGTCTATCTGTGTTTCATTGACTATGCAAAGCTATTTATTTGACTGTGTGGATCATAACAAACTGTAGCTAACTCTAAGAAGAATGGAAGTTCCAGAACCCTTGATAGTGCTTATACAAAACCTATACTTGGACCAGGAGGTAGTCATTAGAATAGAGCAAGGAAACACTGCATGGTTCAAAATTGTGAAGGGTGTATGCCAGGGATGTGTCCTATCTCCATATCTTTTCAATCTATATGCAGAACAGATTATTCGGGAGGCTGGGCTCTATGAGGAGAAATGTGGCATCAGGATTGGAGGTAGACTCATCAACAATATGTGTTACACAGATGATATAACCCTGCTTGCTGAAACTGAGGAGGCCCTGAAGCGCTTGCTGCAGAAAGTCAAGGACAGCAGCCTTCAATATGGATTGAAGCTCAATATCAAGAAAACAAAGATTCTCTTCACTGGGCAGATTGGCAGCATCATAATAGATGTTGAAGAGATTGTTAACAGAAATTGATTGTTAACAGCTTCAGTTTGTTTGGCTCCATGATCAACACACTTGGCAACAACAGATAGGAAATTAAAAGACAAATCTCAATGGGAAAGTCTGCTGTCAGAGACCTCTCCAAAGTACTGAAGAGCAATGATGTCATTTTGGCGACTAAGGTGTGCCTAATTCAGGCCATTGTCTTTGCAATTCCTTGATATGCATCAGAAAGCTGGGCAATGACTAAGGATGATAGAAGGAGAATTGTTGCCTTTGAGCTGTGGTGCTGGAGAAGAGTATTGAATATAACATGGACTACTAGGAGAACAAACAGGCTCATCCTAGAGAGGGTGAGACCAGGCTGCTCCTTGGAGGCAAGGATTCTGAAGCTTCGTCTGACATACTTTGGACTTGTTGCAAAGAGGGACCAGTCCTTGGAGAGGGACATCATGCTTGGGAGGGTGGGGGACAGCACAAGAGAGGAAGACCCTAGACTAGATGGATTGATTCAGCGATTGGGATAATGGGGGTAGGTGTGTCAGAGACAATAAGATTGGCACAGGATAGAGCACGGTTTAGAGCTGTTGAACACAGGGTTGCTATGAGTCGCAAGCGACTCGATGGCACATAACAACAAGAAAAACATATTGAGTTCTCATCCTTGCTGAAACTGAGGAGGACCTGAGGCATTTGCTACAGAAAATCAAGGACTGTAGTCTTAAATATGGATTGAAGCTTAACATCAGGAAGACAAAGATTCTCACCATTGGGCCAATTGGCAGCACAGCACCATGATGGATGAAGAAGAGATTGAGGTTGTTAACAGCTTTAGCTCGCTTGGCTCCACAATCAGCACTGTTGGTACCAGCAACCAGGATCAAGAGAAATATTGCATTGGGAAAATCTGCTGTCAGGGACTTTTCCAGAGTACTGAGAGTTAATGGTGTCAGTCTAGAGACTAAGATGTGCCTGATCCAGTCCATGGTCTTTGTAGTTACATGCTAAGCATCAGAGAGTTGGACAATGACCAAGGATGAGAGAAGAAAAATTTATGCCTTTGAGTTGTCATGCTGGAGAACAGTACTGAACATATTATGGACCACCAGGAGAACTAATAGGTCTGCCTTGGAAAAGGTGAAACCAAATTTCTCGTTGGAGGCAAGGATTTTGAAGCTCCATCTCATACACTTTGGGAATGTGGTCAGGCAGGAGGGACCAGTTTTTGGAGAAGGATATCATTCTTGGAAGGCTGGAGGGACAGCGCAGGAGAGGAAGACCCCGTATGAGATGGATTGATATAACTGGGGCAATGGAATTAGGTGTGTCAGAGTCAGTGAGACTGGCTCAGGTTAGGGCAGGGAACAGAGTTGTTGTCCATGGTGTTGCTATGAGTCATAGCTCAATGGCACATAACGATGACAACATCCCCATTTTACAGAGAAAGATACTGAGTCTTGAGAAGTAGAAAGCAATCCCAAAGTACACACTCCAACTTAGCCTTTTTACACTGCTGACCTCTTATCCATTATCCTATTTGATCTTCACCACAAACTTTGGAGGGGAGGTGACTCCCACTCTGAATGCCTGTGGCTTGCCCTCTGTGTGTTTAACCAGACATGTGACATATTTCTGTTTCTTCCAGCCTCACTTTTTAATTCCAATTTAATTTTTGTCTTGTTATTAACCTACTGTTTGTTTTTTTTAGTCATTATGTCTAAGCTTCAGGGCAGATACTCTGTCTTTAAAAAAGACAATGTTATGGTGTTCTCTGCAACAAAAGAGATGTCGGATATCAAGGCTGCAATGTTAGGCCATTGTGGGTTTTTTATTCAATCACAAAAGCAGACGTTCATTCCCTTCCCTTGCTCCCTGCCAAAATGAAGTCACCTTTAACAAACTCAGCTC